ATATATATATATATATATATATACAATATATAATTTATTCAAATATATATAATAATTTGGAATAATATAATAATTTGGAAAATTTAATGAATAAGATTTACTTTTTCTCGTCGACTACTTCGTGCTAATTCAGCGTTAACGTGAGATTGAATGTGAGAACTAGAACAAACATTATTATGCGAAGCCAAAATCTGCGATCTCAAAGAATATATATCGACAGAAGGCGATTCTGAAGAGATTCTGGAATCCAATAAACTAATGGGGCGATAAGAAAATGCATTATAAAATTTACATAATTATATAGTTAGTTACTAATTTCTTCATAATTACGAGATTAATTATAAGATTAATTTGGATATACATACATATTAAATATTGTATATATATTTTTTTAAACAAAAAAGCATCGGTTTAGACTTACTATAATTTAATATACATTCTTTGATAAAAAAAAGGTTATGCCTAGATCTAGACTTATATATAACCTCTTTGTCAAAGAGTGCATATTGTAAATTGAGTACTTAAATATTTACTATATGTGTTTCAAATCAGTAGTGATAATACCGGCTTGGAAGTGATAAAAGCGGAATGTTCTCGGAAGTGTTATCTTTTGGTGAAGGGTTTGCATGAGCATATTTTTGAAAAATGCTATTTGATCTGCGTAAATTTGTCGATAACAATTTATCCATTGGAGATTGCTTTCCCAAACGATATCCTTGACCAGGAAAACTAACAGAATTATCTATATACAAGTCTGTTCTATGATCTTCTATCTATAAGCGTAAGTCAAAATATTAATTGGAAAAAATAATAGAGATTCTCTCTCTCTCTCTCTCTCTCTTTCTCTCTCTCTCTCTCTCTCTCTCTCTCTCTCTCTCTCTCTCTCTTTAATCAAATTTTTGTTAATCTCACAGATTCTAGAAAAAAGATCCTAAAAAAAGTGCGGAGAATATCTCGTGTGTATCTTAAAACTCTATTCTATTATTCTACATTTACCATAAAAGGCACTCCGTCAGGATATTCTTGTTGCAATTCAGATGGAAAATATCCGTCCAGAATATCACGGATAAATGAGATTGCAGTCGAATCATGGTAAGATCGCAATGGTCCTCCATTGATGCATATACCATTTTTATAAAATTTCAATGCCATGCAGGAAGGAGTCTTTAGTTAAAATGCATTAAAAAATGCTGATTGACGATATAAATAATTACTAATTAACAAATATATTAATTTCAATTAATTAATATCTTCGATATTTGTGATGTATATAAAAAAAAATTCGCGTAATTTCATGGAGTCTTGCAAACAATATTCTACATTATATTTACATGCTATGAAAGTACGTATTATGAAACTATTATGAAGAGTATTACTTTGAAAGTCGCTCCTCCTCCTTTCTCATTATGATGAATGTGAACTTCACCCTTTCCCGCAGCTAGATTCAACTGATCGATATTCGTAACTAATTGTTCATAGCACATGTTGATATAATTACTATAACGAAGTTATTATTAATTATTAGAATTGCTATTTTTATTTCTAGCTAGTAATAAAATATTTATTTTAATTACTTGCTACTATCTACGTTTGTCGTACTTTTGGTATCACCCACCCATATTAATCCATAATCAGCCAAGAACTTCTACAAAACGACATAATTGCTAATTTCTATTTATGTTTTAAATACGTCAAACAAACATATTTGAAATATAAATTTAAACCTCCATTTCGCTGATTTTATGTTCTAACGTTAGATATCGTTGATAAAAATATTCAGAATTCTTAGCTTGACTTCGTTGCTCCTTCTTTCGCAGCAATTCCTGGCTTTTGTACTTAGTTTCCCATTCTTTAATCTATCAAAATAATATGACATATCATAAAAAAATTGTAAAAATCATTCAGAAGTTTCAAAGTACGAAAATATATAAATAGAATACACGAATGTATTCGATGTTGTAAAATAACTAAATTTAACTAAATAAACGCAATGTAAATACACAGCTTAAAAATTAACTCTGCTAAAAAACTAACTATGAATATAATGATAATATTATATTCTATAATAATAATACTACATTCTTAGATTAAAAAAAGCGTACAGAGAACCTTCCGCTTTAAGCGTCCAATTTCCTGATCCTTAGTTCGCAAACCTTCCTCGGCTTTCGTCAAAACAGATTGCATTTTTCGCATTTGTGACTCAGCTAAATGCAATTGTTTCGTCAACATGCCAATGAGCTCACTTTCTGAAATTAATACGCGATACGTAACAAACGGATACATAACAAAATCTACAACTGTTTTAAATGCTTAATGTAACATTCTATTTAAAACTACTAAATTTTATTATTAAAATATTCTAGTCAACTTTTAATTTAATTTCTTCTCAACCAGTAGTTCTATATTATCATACAAAATTCTATAAAGTACACAATTTTTAAATACAAAACCTTCTTCGATTACGTCATTTATGGCAACCGAATTTCTAGTTATCTTCAATGAATTGTTCCATAATTTTCTCGCGGAAAGATTTGCATTGGAAACCTGATACCCGAACGTATTATGTAATTTGACGTAACATATTTTGTCTAATATTTTATGTCTATGATATAAATGTCACACAGCTACCATTTTATTAACACGAATAGAAGATTTTCCATAACCAAGCATAATTTTGCTATCTTCCGATAGATCTGTCTTCAGATCCGCCATTGTAGAATCTGATATACATGTTGACGAAGGTAATGTTTTTAATCTAGCAAAATATTATATTATTATTTCTTGATATATTGCTAAAAAAAATGCATATTTTTCGTTATTATAACCATAACATCATAAAATAACCTACTTGCAATTGTTGTCATGTGACAGGATCAAGGAATTTTTTGAAAATTTCTTTCTCGAATGAATTGAAGACTTTCCTTGATTCATGTTATAGATGATGGCATTAATTAACGAGTTCGACAACATTTACATGAATTTTCTTACGTCACCAAAAAGTAGTTATTCGCCCGAAGTTGTGTTTACATTATGCGACGTAAGAAAAGTCGATTCAAATAGAATTCAACATGAAAAATGGCAACAATTTCTATACAGTATCACAGCAGAAATATTTTACAATTATATTTTTTCTTTTTAATTTTAATATCAGTCTATTCTTACTTTTGGATTGGATCAAAGAAATTAGGTTTACTTACTTTCACTTATATTATTTCATGTTCGATTTCTTTTTCTATATCAATTTTTCTCTCTTTTTGAACTAACTAAACATTCGTTACAGTGTTATTGATGTTTAACAATAAACTTTTGCACGCTATTTTACAATTGCGATTTATGAATAGATTTTAAGCCTTTATGTTACAATATGTATAGAAGAGAAGAAAAGAATTAATATTCTATTGCATCTTAAAGTATACGGTAAAAATAAGGATAAAACCTTCCAATATTACAAATCATAATTCAAATACGCAAAGTAAATATCAAATTTTCGAAATTATTTTTTCAATTAATACATATCTCATAAAATACGTTTCAATAAATAAATAATCTAAGTATCAGAAACACTAATTCCTAAAAATTTATTCATTAATAAAGAAATAATTTAATAATGGCACATAAGGGTGCGATACTAGTCTCGTAAATGAGTCATAGGGATCATATCTAACTTGTTCATCGTATGTTATGTTATGCGACAACTTACTTTCGCAGAATTATAAAATTTCTAATATTCTTGAAATATACTTCTTTAAAATAATTTTTTTAACAAATAATGTCTAATCTTATATTTCTATATTTCTTTATAATATTAAAATAAATTCTTTATCCCGCTATCTGTGTTGCAATTTTGTATGTAAAAATAAAAACAGTGTCTAAACTTCTCCCCGAAATCATCCAACACAACTGTGATAGGAATCCTATGTAAGGAATCCCTTTCTTTTTAAAAATTGAGATTTTCAGCTAGTTGTTATCCTTTCCAGCAATTCTAAATTTCTCCTTCAAAACCAATCAACTTTTTATATTAGAACATGTCGTGCTCTTGCTTATAATGATCTTAACAAGGATCCGCCCATCTTAAGTAAAGATTCATCTCTTGATTGAACTATTGTGAGTGTCTTTCAATTCTCTTTTATAATTTGTAGCGAAATGGAAATATACTACAATATATACTTACTGTTAGATTCAGTACTGGACTGATATTTGAAATACTTTTATTTAAAATACATGTGCAATACAAGTGTATTTTGTATTTCGACAAAAGCATATGAAAGCATATGAAAGTATTTCGTATTTTGTATTTAAAATTAAAAGATTAAAAGTTTTTGTATTTTATAATAATGTTGCAATAATAAAATTGATTTTATGACTCTGAAATATAAAATACTTTCAATCTTTCAATATTAATACTGAAATGCAAAATACAAAATATTTTTATATATTCTCATGCATGAAATACAATACAAAATATGATTGTCTTATAAATACTGTTTTTCAAATAAAAATATTTCAAATACATGCCCAAGCCCTGGTTAGATTATGCTTCGATTAACAACAAGCACAGTACTGCATTAATTAAATTGAAATCTTTTTGCCTGTATATCGTGCCGAGTGAAGTTATTTAAGAAGATAGTTTTTCTACTTTCTCAGCATTTTAAAGTGTTACGTTGCATTTCACACGTAATAACATACTATATTGCACCGCGACGGCGCAGTAAACCTCCATCGATCGCCTGGGCAGTTGGGCTGGTTGGGCATCGTTCGTTCTTGAGTCACGTGATTACGACACAGTAGTTGTCGTCATCAGAGGAGCCGACGCAACCATTATGTCGACTTGCGTCGGCAGTTGGCAGCAGTCGTGCATTTGGTGCGACGTTCCCCGCGTTTCACCGGTGTTCGCGCTTCGGTTTGATTCGCCTCTCCTTGTCTCGCTTCTGCCACACCTGCCTTTATCACCTCCATTTTTTTGACTTATCGTGAAGCGCTTCTCTAGGCAACGTAGGTGAACACGCGCCGGTATTGTCGCGTGTGCCGCCGCGTGGATGAAAATGCCGCGCAAGAGAGCATCTACGCTACACGAGACATCCGCTGGACGCAGAAACGTCACTAAAGTGAGTCCCCATCGGCTGTCCTTCGATTTACGCAATTCTTATGACTCACTGCTCGAAGGCAGTTACAATGGACCACGTGCTTTTAGCACGTTTTCAGAAATCAGCGTGTTTAACCTCAAATCGGCCAGTGTTCATCCACCAATTTTACACCAATTTTTATCTATATTATACTTCGTCAAACGGTAGTTATCGAACCCATGTTAACCTAATTTCATAGAATTGCGCGATTTGCGCAAAGTCACATCGTTCGAGTAACCTTCAATTATGATATGACTAATTGCAAGAGCACTGTGTCACACAGTATCACATCGTGTAGCATGGTTGAAAACAAGACGTAACATTCATGACAGATGTTTCAAGACTTTTATTTTAAATATTGAGATTTTACTGTATTATCCAAAATGACTGAGAAATTTTCTTTTCGGCAATGCACAGAAATTAATTTCTATTTTGTTAAAGTTTTCTATTTCTATGTCTACTGCATGTAAAAACTTATGAGTGTAATCAATCTGTTTACTTTGGACAGGAACGAATTGAAGGTGACTGATAGGAAGGTAACTGGTGAGTTAAAGGTTAATAATGTGACTGATGTATAAAAAAAAATTGAAATTTCTTCAAGAATTGATCATCATAAATAACATGATTTAGAAGAGTTCTTTTAGCATCTTATGTTAAAATATTTATCAGCGAAAAAATCAACTGCAATTCTTTTTAATCATCATTAGGGATTGGCTACCAAATCATCTATCAAATGAAATCATATTAAGATATAGCAATCTGTGAAGCAAATTTTCTAGAAATTTAGGAACTATTTATTTAGAACAATATAATATAGGGTCTACTTTTCTTGTTATGGATTGCAATTCCATTATTATTAAATATATGAAACAGACCATGTACATCATCATAATTTACACTACAAACAAATAGTAACAATAATAATGAACTTGTCAATGCTCAGCTTCAAGAAGTTATATATGTATATATGTATATTACTAGACATACCAGAAACCATCTATGTCTCTTAACCGGAGTTAATTAAAATTAAATTCAGATCTCTTAAGGTTTCCTACAGTAATTGGCATGTTTCTTTAATTATGTTGCACAATCAGAAAATTGTAAAGATGTAAAAAATCGTTTTGTCTTGATATTTGTTGCACGTAATTACAACTATCGCAATGTGTAATAACATGTTAAACTAACATGTTAAATTCACTATATTATTTTACTTTTCTTGCTATTCAAACAATTCTAATTTTCAAACTAAACATATATTCTTAATTAAATAATATATTTCTTGTTTTTAATTTTCTTTAGCACTGTATTATCATATTATCACTGTATTATCATTTTCCTGTTTGACACTTTGCTTTATACACAAATGTAATACAAAGTATTATGTTAATAATTTGTATTACGTTTACTTGATAACCTAATAGTAAACTACATTTTGACAATACATAAAATATGACACTTTATTTTTTACGAACGGAAACAAAATTCTACACATATTTATGAATATTATATACGTAACTGTGTTATGACGCACACGCTTTTATATTTGCTCGGAGTATGATTTGATTGATCGAATTGTATTACCTCCCTTACTTGTGAACCTAATAAGGTCAACTAAGAGATAATTAAGCCCAATATTGCGGGCGATAAAATTCTTCATTATGATAATAATGATCGAATAAAACGTTATTTCATAATTGTGAAATTTTCAACTCCATTTGGACTTAAGATAAATTTACTCCATTAGCACTTTGGATAAATTTATACATATTTTATTAACTCGTATATCATCGGAAAAATAATCCATACTTCAAAAGACCCTTGAAACTTGTAAGGTCAAATATAAACAGATATTACACGTTATCATTTCTCGGCATAATACAACACAAACTATCGATCGATCAAAGAACAATCTCTATATTTTACTGCAAATATATATTTAAGAATGTCACAATCGAGAGCGTGAAATAATTCATGAGTATGCGTGTGTGCTTTGTATTGACAGTTGTATAGAAAAAATAATGAAATATTTATGATGCGCACGAAAAGGCTAGTAATATAAAAGAAAATATTTTTGAACTGAAATAGCATTGCTGATATATTCGCCAATACAAGAAAATGCACGAGTTATTAAATCTATTGTAATGATACACTTAATTAAATCTATTACTGATGATATAACGCATTCCTGAATTATATCCATTTAACGTATTATTCGGTATTATATAACATGATCATTTCAAAGATTCATTCTTGTAAGGAAACAACAATTATTTCTTAGTTAATTACATCTTATAGATTCCATTATCGGAATATAATAATTTATTAAGTCAGTGATTACATCAGCGTTACTTCTTTATCATATTTGCTTTAAAAACAATCAAGTGGAACTAATGTTTCTATAACAAAATAATTAATATCTTTTTATAATTTTTTTATAAATCTAAATATCTTCTTCCTTATTATTTTTAGTTAATTATGTAAATATTTTTTATTTTTCCAGTCTATGTATAACTCATTACTCATATCTTTTTTATGTAATGAATTTGTAATGAACATGTAATGTATTTAATAAAACCTGTATTTAATAAACCTGTTTTTATTGATGAATTATTTGTTATTAAATATATTTATTACATATGAAAAGATATGAGTAATACGTAGACTGGAAAAATGGAAATAAAAAATATTTACATAATTAATTAAAATATAATAATGAAGAAGAAAAATAATTATATATATTTAGATTTACAATATAAAAAGATATTAATTAATCTGTTTCTCTAAACTAGTGCACTATTTATAGTTATATATTGTTTTACTTCAACTTACTGTATTGATATACACCAATTCATCGATAAAGAACAGATGAATCATTCATTAAAACTTCGAGTATAGCATGTGACTGTCAGTAATAATCGATTATTAAAAAAATGTCACGTGTTTTACCCCTAGTATAGTAATATAATATTCCATACATTGTTCTTTCGTACTATAAGAACACGGTCGAAAACCGGCGCAATGGTGGGGTCAATGAAGATATTCGACGCCTTGGTTCGGTCGCCTTTCAGTGTCGACACTTCGTTCTGTCTGCAATCATGTCAATCGCGTATCGCGATTTCTTCCGTTCACCACACACTTCAAGTCGCGCCTGTTGCATTTCGTAAAGTCGTAATCGCGTTCTTCTACATATCTCGGAACTTTATCTTCGTAAGTGACATTTCGAACAGAGGCCAATGTGATATTTTTTTACATTTTTCATGAATTTATTCATTTGTGATTTATGATTTATTATACTTCGTTATCTCTTATCAATTTTGATGCATCGATGTATCGAGGTTTCTCACTCACAACATGACTGTCGGAAAACGAGAAAATATGCTAATATGATGCAAATTTCCTCATTCGCTATTACTAGCAAACATTCTTATATTCCCTCTCTCATCGAACTATATGAATTTATACTAACTTTTCAACATCACTTCAGCGACATGATTCTTCGATATTGAAGCTAACGATTACTTGGAAAAAAAAACTGTTCGCGCATACTAGCGTAATTCTTTTCACACGGAAGATAAAAAATGTAATAATAATTTATCTTCATGAATATTTAATATTATATTGTTTTAATAATATTAGGTGTAGTAAAAAGAAATCCATTATTTTTGCATGAAATTGAATGGAAAAATAATGGATTTCTTTTTACTACACCTAATACAAGTTCTTTATCGTTAAAATATTAATATAACATAATATCCTTAATAATAACATTGTTTTATTCATATAAATTCTTCATTCAGAAGTTAAAGTGTATTATATCAATTTTTTAATTTTGATAATGTCTCATTATCCCGTTCCATTTCTTATGGAAAAATGAAGATAACATTACGATTTTATGTAACTTATAAGATAAAAGTTCTATTAAATTGAACAAATGTAAATAATTTTCATACAAAAATGCTTCCTTCACCACGTAAAAATACTATATAAACTTTAATTATATTAATTATTTTTGATTTTATGCACATTTATCATCATATGTAATATAAAAGGTTTATTCGTGTTATTTGTTATGAATTCAGTATCTTCGCTTTCTCTCTTCAATATCTGTCTCATTTTAGATTCAAAAATTTTGAGGGATTTTTTTTAATGCGAATAGACTTAATATTATTACTCAATGAATTATCCGATATTTTGAAACACTGAATGCAAATAAAATAAAAAA